TGGCTTACTTCTTTGTACTTTACTCTATTCCTTCTTTTGTGCATCTACTGGTTCCGACTATATTAGCACTATGAGTATTACAAATTGTCCTGTCATTAACCATCATGTAATTATTAGTTTTGTGGTTGTTATTTGTTCGGCAATATTAACTGACAATCTTGGTTGTGAAAGCCATTATCACCATCTTTGAATTTTGTATTATGCAGGATTACTCACACTACCACTACAAACACCGCATTAGAGCTGACAACAACAACCCTGAAATGTTATTTTATGATTGTTTAGTGTTGTCTCAACCTAAATTAACTGATCATCTTGACCATAAACATTCTTAAATATCATTTCATAACTTCTTGTATGACTATAGCTTTACTGTCACCATGCATAATCATATCTTAGCTTCCATTACCCAATACTGAGATATTATTATATGCTGTTTATTTTCCTTTCTACTTCTTGGTATTTTTTCGCATTTAAAAAAATTATTTTGTGTTTTTCCTGTTGGTGTCTTTATATTTTTTTTGAAATACTCCTTTTCAATGTTTCATAAAATTAGATGCAAATATTGTAGATATGTGCTGAAAATTCCACACTGTACCACTAGTAATGTTTCTGGAATAAAGCAAATTATTATTATTATTAAAATGGTGGAAGCTTTAGGATTAAAATCTAGCAAACCAATGTTTGAGGTTTTGTCACAATACACCAATTTTTACTCCACCTAATGTTATCTAAAACAATCTCATGAACAAACCACTTAAAATTATCACAGAACCAACGGACAGATAAAAAGGAAAGGAAGGTTCATATAACAACAAAAAGTTCTGAATAAAACTGCATTTAATACGCCGTGAATGACCAGATATACACAGGTGTCTTGTCGTTGCGAATGCCTTTGAATTTATGAATAATCCCCCCCCCCAGGAATTAATGAAAAGAACAAAACAAGCAGAGTATTCTGAGAAGAGGATCTTTTCTTGTCGAATTCATTTCCCCCCGTTTACCTGTACTACAGTCGCATTTATATACAATCTCATTTTCATAGAATGGGTTAGTAATAAAAGTGATGAGTTGCCGTAATCATAGTCGTTAATTTTAATCATGATATATAATGCAGAGTTGGATAGGTATGCTAGGGTGACGTAATAAGATGAATTATTTATTGAGTGGGTTTTAATCAAGGTGTACATAGAAACGAAGGAAAAATGTGTTACTACGTAAGAGTTTCAAAGACATGCAAGATTTCATCATGAACTGATATCCGTTAGAGGACCACTGAAATACCAGTACTGAGGTACTGGACAACTGTTTCATCCTAGATAGGGGCCCTTCCACAGTAAGCATCCACTGGGGATCAAACCCAGGACCTTCTGGTTACAAGACTAGCCGGCTCGTAGACCATTAAGCCACTGGAACCCGATCTAATGGTCATTTCATGAATTCCAACTTCTGAGAATTCATGACCAGTGGGGTACAACAGGTCGGGTGTGGGGACAAATACTCGCTGAAGACGTTGGCTAGTGGTAGCCATATATCATGAATTGGCAGAAGTTGGAATTTATGGATCCCAGTGGCTTAATGGTCTACGAGCTCGGCTTGTAACCAGAAGGTACTGAGTCCGAACCCTGGTGGTGTGAGCGTACTGACGACGAGTCCCAAATTAGACTGACGAAACAGTTGTCCCGTACTCCCAGCTGGCTTTCCAATGGTCCTCTAACCGACATCAGTACGTGATGGAATCCTGTAACCAATCAACTAAATCCCTACAAATCAATACTTGAATGGAAATACAAAAGTTATGAGGAGTTATAAACAAACACGTTGAATAATTTTCGTTTGTATGCAGAGCTCCTATTTCTATATCTGAATTGGCTACACCTTCAGCAATACAGAGAAAGCGTAAGCTTATTGTCTTTGATAATTTATTCTTCACTTTGCAGATTACTTTACATGATGAGTTTATTGAGACAGAATTACCAGTGATGCCTTCCTGCCACTCTATACGGGATAGTGTTCTTGAACCCCTTTAGACAGAATATGCATCGAAGGATCAATATACCGGGTTCCAGAGGAACACGTGATCTAATATATATACATAAATACTTGGTCAGATGCAAGATCTTGTCTTTTACGCTTCTGCAGACCAGTGGACAACTGGAGAACACTACTCTTAGCGTTGCTGCGAAGAACTCTTATGTAGTATCACATTTTCGCCTTCTTTTCAATGTACATTCTGATAACAACTCACTCAGTAAATTGATTATCTTGTTGTGTAACTCTACCAACCCTTATTTAACTCTTAATTATGTACTGATTAATACTCATGACTATCCTCTTTTGTGAAAATCGATGCGCGTGTGTGCGTGTGTATATAAATGCGACTGTTGTACAGGTCAAACAAGAAAATGAATATGATAGAGAAGATTTGTAGCTCAGGTGGATGATTTCGATATGGTTGTGTTCTCTGAGCTGGATAGTTGATTTGCGAAGCTTTCATCGCCCTACTAGGCAACATCTTCAGCGCATACTTCAATTTGAATTGAAGTGAGCTTTCAGATTTCTCCACGAGTTTATTAATCATCTCTCCCAGTGGGTGGCCTTGAAGGTGATTGGCTGTTTTTGTGTGTTTTCACACCTTCTAGGTTACTTGTATTGCAAGTGATTGTTTCTTTGACTTGAACTTTAACCCTTTGTGTGTGAGGTTTCTTTTCTACCGGTTGATAAATTTTGTCTTTCTCGATGTATCTAGTGATTGACGATTCACTGGAATACGAGACAGGCTTGTAAGAAAATTCTCTAGCATTCTTGTTGTTTCCTCTGTCTAATATTTGAACGCTGGTTGTTCCAGTCGAATTGATGTCCGTGGTTGTCTGTATGTAGAGATATGACGGAGTGGATATCATGTCTTTTGACAGTTGGCTTATGTTCTTGGATACGAAGACGAAAGGGACGTCCACTTAGGCCAATGTAGTGTTTTTCGCAGTTGATACAATCTATTTTGTAGATGATGTTGGTTTTATCTTCTTTCACTGTTGAGTCTTTTGGTTGACATAGAATTGAGTGAAGTGACTTTGTTGGTTCGTGTACGACGTCAATTCCTAAAGGTTTGAAGAGTATTGTAGTGATTTCTGAGATATCCTTTATATATGGTAAGGCGATTTTCTTTGTGCTTTCCTTGGATGCTTTTGGTTTGGTTCGTATCCACGAGCATAAGCTAGCTGTCAAAAGACATGATATCCACTCCTTACGTCATATCACTACATACAGACAACCACGGACATCGATTCGACTGGGACAACCAGCGTTCAAATATTAGACATAGGAAACAACAAGAATGCTAGCCGGAGAATTTCAGAAGTCTGGCATTCCAGTGAATCATCAATCAATAGACACATCGAGATTGACAAAATGTATCAACCGATAAGAAAGAAACCTCACAAACAAAGGGTCAAAGTTCAAGTAAAAGAAACAATCAGTTCCAATACAAGTAGCCACCTAGAGGGTGTGAAACACACAAAAACAACCAAAGAGTCACGTCCAAGGTCACCCACCAGGAGATCTGATTAGTAAACTTGTGGAGAAATCTGAAAGCTCACTTCAATTCAAATTGAAGTATGCGCTGAAGATGTTGCCTAGTGGTGGGGCGATGAAAGCTTCACAAATCAACTATCCAACTCAGAGAACACAACCATATCAAGAAAATGAATTCGTTGAAAAGTGCCTCTTCACTGAACTGATTCACTTATTTTCTTCAGTAATCCGTTTGAAAAGCAACCATAAATTATTCAGAGTGAGCATTGAATTTCACACTGTCAAACATGCGACAGTCTAAATTCAGTGACACATTCACACACATACCATGGCAAATGAAAAAAAAACCTAAATTTATGAGAAGAGGGAGGAACAGTATAAAACACACAGCAATAAAAATCAAAACTCAACTAAATAATGTCAACTAAAACAAAGCTGGTACCATCATCGTTTATTTCCTTGGCTTCTCATCAGCTGCTAACAGGCCAAAGTCATTATTAAGTAGTATATCTACAGAAACAGTTTTAACATACTTGCACAGAGTTCATTTTTAAACAAAAATCAATCAATATATGCATACAGTTATATATAATATATAATATTAAACACTATTCCGGACAATAATGATCATACACAATAGAAACCTTTGGCATTATGTAATCAGATGAAAGAGAGGTGAAAATATCCAGTTACCAGGCAGCAGGGCAAAGAAAGACGGATAACCACTTCGTTCTGGAAGAGAGAATCAGGTTTCAGGCGCTTGATGGAGATGGCTTCGGCAAACTTAAGGAGAATTGAACTGTTTTGCACCTACTGATAATTTTGAACGATCTTGCGACGTCCACGTCATGAGCATTGTCAAGGAGATGTCTGGCGTTGGCACTGTTTAAAGCATTTGTTCCCTTTAGACATAAGCTTTTTGGAAGAGCAGAAAGAAGGGCATATCTACGATTTTTTGAACTTGTACGGAAAAGCTTACGTCTAAAGGAAACAAATGCTTGAAACAGTCACATCGCCAGGCATCTCCTTGACATGGATCAGGAGGGGGACGTAGTAGGATCGTTCAAAATAATCAATAGGCGCAAAACAGTTCAATTCTCCTTAAGTTTGCTGAAGCCATCTCCATCAAGTGCCTGAAACCTGATTTATGCATTCCAAAAGAGGTGTTATCAATCTTTCGTTGCCCTGCTGCCTGGTAACTGGATATTTTCATCCTCTCTTTCATCTGATTACGTAACTCCGAAAGATTCCATGGTGTATGATTATTATTGTTTTGGTATAAAGTATGTTAAAATTGCTTCTGTAGATATACCCAATAATGACTTTGGCCTGTAAGCAGCTGATGAGAAGGCAACGAAATAAGCAATGTAATGGTATCATTTTATTCTACAAAAACCACTGTTGTTTCTGCTTTATTCAAATTCATATAAAGGGGAATAAATTTATGAAAAAAAAACTTAGCTGCTTACATTAGGCATATTGTTATTATTGTTGTTATTATTCAGGTGGGGTATCTTTCCCTGAGACGCTGATCTGGGTATGCCAGTGTTTGAATTTGTTGTTCTACCCTGTTGACTATGTTTCTCTGCGGCTAAAACAGAAATCATAAGAAGAAAATGACTTAAATCAAAATGGATATTTACGTCATTTTTGATTACATAAACTTGACGATTGATAAGACATTGGAGTGAAAAGAAGTAAGTGGGACAAATATAATGGTAAGCTCTAATCTCAAGAATAACAGTGAATTAATTTCATAAATCTCAACTTCATCGACTTTGAAAAGGCATTTGACAGCGTCGATAGAGAGGTGATTTTATAACTACTTCGCTACTACGGTGTGCCACCGACAATTATACATCTCATCCAACAGCTGTACGACAATGTTGCATGCCAAGTAATCCAAAACAGGAAACTTACGGAATCCTTCGAAGCGAGGACAGGAGTAAGACAAGTTGGCTGCCTACTATCGCCAATGATTTTCCTGATTGCAGTAGATTGGATAATGCGACAAACAGTGAGCAATGAGGAAACAGGTATAAAATGGATCCACACAAAAAACTTGGAGGATCTGGACTTCACCGATGATATATGTGTGATTTCCCATATACTCGAAGATATACAAATGAGGAAAAGCAACAAGTTGGCAGAAGAAGCATCAAAGATAGGATTTCCTTCAGGTGAATATAGAGAAAACAGAGGTGATGAAGATTCCTGGCCAACACCAACAGCAACAACAACAACAGGCAACAATCAGCCAGCATAAATGGGAGGAACCTGGAAGAAACAACCTCTTTCACCTAACCACCTACCTGGGAAGCATCGTTTCAACTACAGGAATACGGAACTGATGAGGATATAAAAGCAAGAGTCGAAAAAGCCAGACAAGCTTTCATTACTCTCAAGTCTGTGTGGAGGTCAACAGCATTCAGCATCAAAAATAAGATCCGAATTTTCAACTCCAATGTGAAGTCAGTCAGTGCTACTATACGGATCAGAGACTTGGCCAGCGCGTCATAAAGACCATCTTAAACAAACTACAGACCCTCATTAACAGTTGTCTTCACTGAATACTCAAGATCAGATGACCAGTCAGAAAAGATCAGCAACAGGGAGGGATCTCTGGCAATGAGCGAACCAACCCAGCAGGAACCGATTGTGAAACAAATAGGCAGGAATAAATGGAGATGGATTAGCTGGCCATACTCTGAGTAAACCATCAAGTGGCATCACTTGACAAGCCATTGCTCGAGTGGAACCTGAAAGGGAAGCGGCGGCGAGTTGGTCGTCAGTGCAAGGGTGACTGGGAGGAGGTCATGTGAAGAGGAGATGCAAACGTGTGGGCAGACATGGAGCCAGGTGAAAACTAGCAGAGAACAGAACGCAATGGAGACGCACGGCTGAATCCCTATGTTCCTGTAGGAATTAAAGGATAAAATAATAATAATTTCATAAGTCTACTTGATACTACTGGCTATTAGCAAGTAGTAGAATGTCAGACATCAACAGAAGTTCTAGATAGCACTCCAGTATCTTTCCTTTCAAAGTTAATTTATCAAGTCTGGTTTTAAAAAGTTCACAAATGATCTATGGGTTGAGGTCACGTGAGGGGGAAGATATTCTATGAGGGTCTTTAATGACAGTCTACTCATAAATGACATATCTACTTCTTACAAGTAGATTCTACAAAGTTGCATGCAGTAACATCATACTTGAGAAGTTGGACAGAGAATGATGCTCAGGAAGGCTTAGTGTGCTTTTGGAAGTGTGTGGACAGTTGTTACTTCCCGGCTGCCTACATCGTGGAAGTTGATTTATCCTTCGGGTACCTGAAACAGAAAGAGGGTTAGTGTTACGTGATTGGTATGGTAAGACCTGCAGGAACAATAGTTCCAGCCAGTGTGTAGCTTGTTGGGTCATTGCGATATGCAAGCCCGACCACCACGTCAAGGTAGCAGCTATCGGTCGGCGAAATTAGGGAGGTGGGGAGCGAGGAGACAGGAATACGCTGGACCACCGATAAGAAGACTCTAGAAGATCTGGATTTCGCACATGACTTGTGTTTAATATCACACAGATTTGAAGAAAACCAATAAGCTGACTGAAGAAGCAGCAAAGACAGGACTCCAGGTGAACATAGAGAAGACGGAGATGATGATGAAGAAAACCAACCAACAGCAACAACAAACAGCACCAATCACCATCGACGGGAAGGATTTGAATGAGGTTACTTCCTTCACTTATCCAGAAAGCACTGTCTCAACAACAGGCGCATGGCATGGATTAAGATGTTGATACCAGCCAGAATAGGAAAGACAAGATACGCCTTCATCAGTCTGAAACCAGTTTGAAAATCTTCTGCATTCCATCTCAGAATATACAATAAGATTGAGATTTTCAGCACAAATGTTAAGTCGGTCGGTCAGTTCTATTTTATACGGGCCAGAAACTTGACCAGCATGTCACGAAAAGCCTGTTGCTAACTTTTATCAACAACTGCCACCTTCGCTGTCTGGCTTCATACTGGAAATAAAATTATCAGCTAGCCGGGTGGCCAGATAGAATTAGCAATAATAAGCTCTGGCAAGAAACCAACCAAGAGCCGATCACTCAACAAACATGTAAGAGAAAATGGAGATGGGTCGATCAGTCATACATTGAGGAGACTGTCGAATGACATGATGAGCCAGCCAGGCCATTACTCGAGTGGAATCCGTATTGGAAGTGATGAGTGGTTCGTCGGTGCGAGGGTGACATGAAGGAGATCGTGTGTTGAGGAGGAGGAGATGAGAGATTACGGTCAGTCGTGGAGCCAGCCAGCTGAAGAGAACAGCACCAAATAGAAGAAAGTGGAGATGTGTTGTTGACGCTGTATGTTTCACTCGGAACCCGAGGGAATAATCGTGATACTGATGAAATGTTTGTTCAGGAAAAATTGACAGTCATCAACTCCAGTGCTCACTGCTGAGACGATTGTCCAATGCCTTTCATCGATTCCAGTGATTCTTAAACTGATATCAGTTCACAAATGAACTCGCCAAGTGATCAATCTTATTTCAAATAAACTGTCGTCAAGATTTGACAGAATAGCTTTGAAATATTTGGGCGCCGAGTGAGAAATTATATTTGTAAAATCTTAACGAGATTGAAGTGAGTAATTCCAACGTTTCTTGTGTTCGGCAATCTGGTCCGAACTTCTTCAGGGAAATTAATCGAAATTAACATAACAGAGGTTTTTTATATATAAAAGGCACATCTTTTGTTTTTAAAAACTTTGTCCAATCATGAGTCATTCAACAAGTATCAACAAGTATAATAAACAAAATTTTATGAGGTGTGATCAAAATTTGACCTCGGACTTACAAATATTGGTCTACCTTTGTTAAACACTTTGAACGGAGAGTGTATGTGTGTGTGGGTAAACAGTTGTAAAACATTTCTTAACGTCTCCATAAGAAGTTATGGACAGTCGAGAATTTTGACCAAGTATTATTAATTAGTGATACATATCCATTTTTATTTATTAATAAGGATTTCTTATGCATCAGCTAACATCACGCCTTCATGTCTGTTCAAACTGTTAGTATCGAGAATTTTATGATTAGACGTATTTTCAAAATTATGGTGTTTAGGATTAGAGTTTAGTAGAAGCACCCTGTCGGACTTATTGCTTTGCCTTCTTTCTGAAGATTGAGCTGCTTTATTCGACCTACTGGAGTTGTCAGGTGACTCGACAGCTACGGATTTAGGATATGCATTCTGTTGCAGACAACGGAGAGTGAAAACACGATGATTGTGCCAGTTACACAGTTTCTTTGTTAATTTAATTCGATTGCAAAATAATTCAAATGAACTGTCGTCAAGATTTGACAGAATAGTTCTAAAATATTTGGGCGCCGAGTGAGACGTAAACAAATGTTTTACAACTGTTTGCCCCCACATACACACATACACACTCTGTTTAAAGTGTTTAACAAAGGTAGACCAATATTTGTAAGTCCGAGGTCAAATTTTGATCACAGCTCATAAAATTTTGTTTATTATACTTGTTGATACTTTTTGAATGACTCATGATTGGACAAAGTTTTCAAAAACAAGTGATGTTCCTTTTATATATAAACCTCTGTTATGTTAATTCGATTAATTTCCCTGAAGAAGTTCGGACCAGATTGCCGAACGAAACGTTGGAATTACTCATTTCAATCTCGCTAAGATTTTACAAATATAATTTTTTACAAATGATCAATCTTATCCTTAAAAGTCAACAGAGACAAATGAAGTTATTTTGAATGGTGGTGAGTAGCAGTGGAATCCAAGGTGTGTAAGAGGTAGTTCTCGTGAATAACGATTTGGCATTCAAAACTATGGAAGTAGGGCTCAGATTGCAGGGGGGAATATCACCACTCACTTGAAATGCGCATACATGCCACTGATGAGTTCTAGACAGGACGAAATTCCCATTGCAGATTCAAATACTGTTTACTACTAATCAAAATAATATCACGTTGATCCTTAGACATTGTCAAAGCGTCTGTACTAGGAGCTGATTGAGCAGTTTAGCCCAATAGTATCAGTTAACAGGAAATACAAAGAATAAATATTAAAACAAAAAGATCAACTTCGGTTTAAATTCTTACCGTTTGTTCTACTGTCATCAACAGTTTCAAAACCAATTGGTGGACTTAAGGATTTTTTATACGAAGGCATAGATGGTGGAGGAATCTTCACAGCTAAATTTTGTCCAGTTGTTGTTCTGCTGGAATTACGTACCTTGTTTGTTGAAGAATTTTCGATCAGGCTATCCTGAGGTGTTGTAGGTGGACTGTAAACAGATATTGTCTCCAAGTTTTTATCGAACGATACAGATTTTTTTACACGCATACTACCATCAGTAGACGTGCCTGGAACAGTGGTGCTATGAAGACGAGATAACTCGCTTTCAATAACTTGTGGACCTAGACGTGATTGAATTGGATGTGGCATCGCATAGGGTACGAATTTTGGCATTTCTTGTTTTGCATCAAATCTTGGTCGTCCATAACGATTTTGACTACTGGATGCTTGAGAAAGATCTGAGAAAAATAAGGACACACACAAAAAAAAGGAAAGACAGACATGTGAGTATCTTAAAAATCCCCATTGAGTCATATGAAAAGAGAAGACGTTCAGCGAAGAGACTCTTTTCGACTGCGAATTCATTCACATAGCTAGCTGTACAATCGCATTTATATACAATTATTTGCGTGTGTATATGAGGTTTGTCAAGTTTAGATAATTAATTAGGTAATACAAGATTGATCTAATATAGAAACAAGGTTAATGAGACAGCAACTAAACTAAGATTGAGTTAGCAAGTTAGATGACGTAATATAATTGACTAAAATGTTTCAACTTAGATCAGAAAAGCAACAGAGGTAATTACAGGCAGAAAGAGACCAAGTAGAAGTGGGGTAGAGAATAACGGCATTCAAATTAGGACTGAAATTGAGCAGATAAATTGGATGACATAACATAAATGACTAGAAATTGAGCGTTGGTCAAGTCAGTAACAGTGGTAATGAAGTGTATAAATTAAATCGGGTGGGGATAGAGAACAGGAAGGTTGAAAATGTAAAATATTACAATTGTAAAGACAAAATAATACTAATGAAGAGACGGAAAGAAAGAAATAGAATTCACCTGTCGGGTATTAAGACAGATTACGTCCATTGCAAGTGTAGTGATTGAACGACTTAGCAAGTGAATTGTCATTGCTTCCGCAGTTTGAAGAAGTCTGATTCGTACACTTTTAGGAAGACTGCTTCGTATTCTGTAGACGACTTTTAGGTTTGTTTGGGATGTAGCTTGGCGTCCTAAACCTATCAGATGTTCTAAGATAGAGCTGCATGGGGGCATCGTTTTTCTCCTTTGTGAAAGCGTGCTGGTAAGTGTTCGGTGATACGTTTGGATAGCGAACGCTGGGTACGGCCGAAATACCTGACTCCACACGAGCAGGTGAATTGGTTGAGCGACCGGCTGTCGCCTGTTGGTTTGTTCCACTGCATGGTTTCTTTCTGCTTATTCTTTCCGGCCATTTGATCTTCAGTATGGAGCCAGCCAGCGAAGGTGGCAGCTGTTGATAAAAGTCTGTAGCAGGCTGTTGGAAATCCTTTTTGTGACACGCTCACCAAGTTTCTGACCCATATAGAAGGACTGACTTTACATTGGTGTTGAAAATCCGAATCTTGTTCCTTATGCTGAGTGAGAGCGGAAGATTTCCAAACTGGTTTGAGGTTGATGAAGTCGTATCTTGCCTTTCCGATTCTTACTGGCTTTGACATCTTCATCCGTTCCGACTGCCTGTAGTTGAAACGATGCTTCCCAGATAAGTGAAGGAGGCAACCTCTGTTAAATCTCTCCAGTTGATGGTGATTGGTGCTGGTTGCTGTTGCTGTTGGTGCATGGTTATCTTCATCACCTCCGTCTTCTCTGTTTTCAACTGGAGTCCTGTCTTCTCTGCCTCTTTAGCCAGTTTGTTGGTTTTCGCTTGCACGTCTTCGAATTTGTGTGACATTAGACATTAGGCCTCGCCTAGTTAACTAGCTCGATAGTTTTCTAGCCGGTCCCAAGCCCGGGTAAAGAGGGAGGGTTGGGCGTGGGGCTAGCAACTCCACACCACTAAATCTTTCAAACCGCTAGAGAAACTTCAACACACAGTGAAAAGTATTAAATGAGAATAATAAATATAATAATAATAATAGTGCATTTTTTCAAACAATACTGACGATACAGTATGGAAATTTTGGCATTTTATAGAGTATTAAATCTAATGTTCTCTTGACATAGCATGGTGACGGGAATAACAAAGGAATAACAATTATTACAGAGCTTAAATGATGTTCAAACTTATGAGAAAATAAACACTAAAAACAATGAGAGCATTATAAATATAAGAAGAATAATAACAGTTAAGCTTGATGGCATAAGAGTGAAGAAAATTGTTTATTTCACTAGTGGTAAGAAGATTAGTTAGTTAGTTCATGCCTAACACTATTTTCATCACATAAAATACGTGCCGCCAAATACGGTAAAGTGGAATTTTTATACTTAGACGAGTGCGCATAAAGTCGTTTGATGAAATTGACTTCTTGTTCTATTTGAGAAGAAGATGGAAGATGAAAGATGCCGGTAAAGTGGATGCTCACAATCTGACAAAATTACCTTAGCAAATTTGTTGCATGAAATCAATTGCCTATCAATAACGATGTCAACGAGATGGCCCAATAAGACACCACCAATTGCCCTACTGACAGTCTTCAGAGTTCTACGAAGTATGACACAGTCTTTTTTAAGCAATCCAGGAAAGAATAAGGGTGAACAGTAAAGAAGAATAGGTAAGATGCAAGAGTTGACAAACTGTAAGATGAGGGGTTATGCCTGAGTGCCTTAACTTCTGAATGTAAAAAGTCAGACGAAATATTCTTTTAGAAATCGCTAAGACATAGGAAGACCAGGATAGGTCAGTAGAAAGAATTAATCCAAGATACTTAACTTCAGACTTGCTTTCTATATCCCCACTATCATCAATTTTGCAATGGTCATAGGAACCAACAGCTTCATCGTTCAACTTTCTTTTACATCGGAAACTGAAATTTAACTGTCTGACATTTGGAAGGATTTAGTTTAAGGCCATTAGACGAAGACCATTTGCTAATTCCTGATAGAAAGCTGTTCATCTTAGTACAGTCTAGCTGGCAGGGATGTCAGCCTCAGTAAACAGTAAAGTGGACGACTTCTCCTGACATATAGTGTACCGCTTTCTTCCTGAGAAATGAGAATGCAGCCATTTGACAACCCAACAGTCAGTTTGAATTTCAGCAAGCTTGTTTAACAAAATATCCCCAGATATTGAGTCAAAAGCATATGTGTAATCTAGGAAGGCGCATCGAACAAATTTAGCCCCTTTGTCTGAATTAGGGACGATATTATAATGCAAGACTGTAATTGCATCTAAAGTACTTCTCCTATGTTTGTAGGCAAACTATTTGGAATCGTTGAAGGCTTTAAGTGTAACTTTTCCATAGTTTTCGAAAAAGGAGAGTTTATAGCAATAGGTCTAAATCTGACATATGCTCCAGTAGATGACTTTGGTATTTTTTATTCCTTTACGTTCCCAGTGCTGAAACATTGGGCTTCAAGCTAGTGGCTTTAATTTTCTGTAGCAGTGGTGTTTATTTTTTTACGGGATGGAGTTTCTAGCCTCATGTCCAACCTTTCCTCGTTACCAGTCTTATTATTGGCCAGGTTCGAACCCCGGACCACATGCGTGGTCGAGCAGCATTCTACGGCTGTGCCACCGACGCTCGACTTAGGTATGGGTGCAATTTTAATGCCCTTCCATACGGCTGGAACAACATTTCTGGAAAAAGATTCATTAAATATGTCAGTGAGAGAATAACATAGGATATCTGCGAATTTTTTAAGAATAACGCTAGGCACCCTGTCTGGACTTAGGATTTGAGAAGGGTTGAGCGAATGGAGTCATTTCAGAACGTCATTTATGTTTAAACCAAGAAAGCAGCTTTCATTAACACTTGAGACACTAGAAAGCATGGCATTCGTGGGAGAATATATGGAGGACTTAATTAAGGTACACACATCAAATCTTAACTAGGTACAGAGCTATCTGATCAAAAGTACATAGATGATACTGTGCTTTTATGGGAATGTGCTGACTAAACGCGAGGTATATCGAACAAATTGAGAAAAAGTCTAGGTAAGTTTGACATGAGGTTCGGGCCTGTTATATGCAAGGCAGTGTCACAAGCATGGAATTTACCCTCTCCGAAATTAAGCAAACGCAGCTATCCAAGCTCTAGTGGACTATTATTATTGTTTCCTTTAATTCCTAGAGGAACAAAGGGCTTCAGCTGCACGTCTCCATTTCGGTCGGTTCTCTGCCAACGTTTTCATCACCTGGATTCACGTCTATCCACATGTTTTCATCTCCTCTTCATATAACCTCCTCCATGTCACCCTCACACTGAAGACCAACTTACCGCTTCCCATTTCGTGGGGTTCCATTCGAGCGATGGCCTGACGTGTGATGTCACTCACTTGATGCTTAGTTTTCTCAGAGTATGGCCAATGCACCTCCATTTCTTCCTGCTTATTTGTTGCACAATCGGTTCCTGGTTGGTTCGCTCCTAGGGATCCCTGTTGCCGATGTTTTCTGACTGGCCATCTGATCTTGATCAGTGTGCCAAGACAGCTGTTGATGAAGGTGTGTAGTTTGTTCGAAGTGGCCTTCGTGGCACAACGTGGAGAAGCGCCAAGTCTCTGATCCGTACAGTAATTAGCACTGACTAGATTTCACATTCCAGTTGAAAATCCGGATCTCATTTTTCATGTTGAGTAGTGCTGTTGATCTCTACACAGACTTGAGAGTAATGAGAGCTTGCCTTGCTTTCCCAATTCTCACTTTGATATCCCCATCAGTTCCGTCGGCCTGTAGCTGAGACGATGCTTCCCAGGTCGGTAGGTGAAGGAGGTTGCTTCTTTCAGATTTCTCCTATTTATGCTAGCTGATTGTTGTCTGTTGTTGTTGTTGAAGCTGTGGCTGTTGGCTAGGAATCTTCATCACGACATCTGTTTTCTATATGTTCATTGACTCAGGCGATTAGAATACAGTTAAGTGTTTGAAAAGCACTCAGTATACAGCTGAAATCAAACAGTATGAGATTTCGGAAGAAAAGCCTTTAGCAATTTTCCAAAGATATAATATAACAAGCCGATGAAAGTAATTAGAAACAATTAAATGAAATTGTTAACGAGAATGAGACTGTTTAAACTCCTTAGAGTCATCTTTCTGAGATATGGAGGGGAAGGGAAGAGATGAAGGGATGTGAGGAAATGAAGGGAAGGAAGAGGAAGCTAGTTAATTAGTTTATAGTGATATTTATGAGGCGATTGTGTTCATTCCGTTGTTGTATATCATGCCAAGCCATTGGCGTCTTCGTCGAGCAGTATTAGCTGACATCAGATAAGAGTGGTCAAAACAAAACCTGAGATCAGTCCACATGCTCTTTAACTGCTGATTTGAGCTAGCCATGTACAGAGGTATATCGTCCTACCTGACTGAATTTCTAAAGCCATTAAGAACTAATTCCTGGAGACTGTTGGTAGTATGTCTCAAAATCGTTCCCTGCAGAGCAGATGCATTCGCTCTTTACGAACTCCTACATTCATTAAGTCCTCGTGTATCTCCATACGATTATTCCTTCTTCCGTCTATTTCTGCTCATTATAGGTCCTTCGAACATTTTCCCCTACCTCTTTTGCTGTGGCGACCTGGAGTGTTTCACTCTTGTACAAAATTCCACGTGTAAAACATAGTCTGCCGTATGTAAGGAGAATAAGTCGTCACTAACTACGTAGTACGGCTGAGAGTGGATAAACTTCGATCCTCGTTTTGAAATGCCCTCTGTCATGTGAACACGCGTTTATAGCCTCTGCCAGGTAAGTTCTTTTCACTGTCTTCACTCGGCACATCTGGATATTCCTCATAAACGTGAAAGGATGCATGGGGACGTCAGGTGCTTATAACCAGACTGATGCACATAACTGTCGGAAACCTCTTATTCCGAAACCTATGGTGTACATAGGCCTGGGAATCTGAAAGGATACAAAGGTGTGTAAACCTGTTTCCGCCAATAGAAACCATGAGAACTTAGCTTCTGACATTATTCCACTGCCTTTAAGCCGAGACCCTAAGTCAAAAGCTCTGTCTGGCCATGCAGGCGATATCCTACGTCTTGTGCAAACTAAGAGTTTTTGTGTGTAGCATCTCCCGGTGGCCATAAAGTGCCAAGTTTTTGATTTGATGATAATAATCGCAAAAATGAAAACAAAAAAAAATATCCAATACTTACTGTCATCAGAATTCTGTCTAAGTGGTACTTGACTTAAAGTTTGATAATTCCATGATTTCGCATCATCATCATCATATTCATCATGCGCATTATCATTACTGTTCATTTTCAGTGTTGACGGATTGGAGGGACTATGGGTCTACAGAGAAGAACCAAAAAAACAAAACCAGGAGTCCGTTAGGACTCATTTTAGCAGATATCTATATGTCATACATTGGAAATTTATCGGAGGAATTAATCGAAAACGTGCCATTTTATAGAAGGTATGTCGACGACATTGTAATCATAAGTGATAAGCGCCTTGTTCTGCCACCTCAATTTTAAATCGAATGAATGAAGTTCAGAACACCATATCACTTACATCTGTCTGTGGAAGAGGAAGATAATTGTTTAACTTTCCTAGATATATTTTCCTTAGTCGACGGCTTGATGGGTCAATAAAAAGATCGATTTATAGAAAACCTACCTGGACAGGATAGTATCTTAATTACCACAGTTTCTGCCCTGTTTGATACAAATGAGCCTTAGTGAGCGAAGTGCCTCTTCAGTAGAATCCAGCGAATATGCACTGAAGACACACTTCATGAAGAAGAAAGAAAGTTGACACAAACTCTGGTTGATAACAATTATCCAGACAAGTTCATCAGGAGATATAAAGCAGTCAGAACACCAAGACCCACTCTACAACTCGCCCCTAAGAAAAACGTGTACACCCAGCTACCCTATATGGGGCATCATAGCAGTCAGCTTGATAACTAGACAAAGATTGAACGCTGTTGTGGTTAAAAAGACTTTTTATGCAGCTAATATCATAATAATTGATAATGTGAAGCCAATTTATCCATCTAAGCCCTTCGAACATTCGATAAATGATGTCACATCCCACTGCATTTACCAGTCTGAATGTACGTGTGGCCACACAGACATGGGAGGGAGGACTCATCGATCTCTGCAAGTAAGGGCTTCAAAGTATATTCCTAAATGGCTCCAGAAACAAATAGATTCCCCAGAACCCATTAATGAGGAGAACAAATGACGACCCAGCTCCTCTATTGCGAAGCATATTACAGAGGAGACAGGACATAAAGTTGACGTTAACAGATCTTTTAGGCCTATCTATAAAACGTGTTTGGGGCGTATCCTAAAGTTTGTGGAAGCCCTAGCTGGCAATTAGAAAGTTTAAGCCACCTTAATGCGTTCAAAGCAACAATTCGTCATCACACTAAACCACCTTCCTTGGTAAACTTTGTTTCGATACCAGTCAGGGTAGATGTACTATTACCTCTGTTATTTGGTTTAGTGACTGATCTTCATTGTTATTTTGACCTTGAATATGTCCTTTTAACTTGAACAAAGTCTTCCCTCTTTAACCGACTGACTTCCGGTTAAGCGAGGCTTTTGAGAGTGAGATGACAAGGAATACAGCTCCAGACCACATGAGTGATTGGCGAGTATTCTACCAAGGTACACAATAACTGAAAATAAAATACTTGATTCGTTCTATCTCCCCTGTGAAGTGGTATAATAAGGTGAGCAATATTGAGGTTAGGCCATCGGTCTGGGGAAAATCAATCGACGAGGCTGTGAAATTACATCGACTGAGATGGTTAAGACATGTGTTACGTATGCCTAGTCATCGCCTTCCTCGACAATGGGCAATGTTAGCTGATAAAGGGTCAGGCGGTCAAACCAAAACGTGGCACCAGTCAATGAAATCCACAACAGTTAGTCTAAGCCAAGTAGGAAGGTGTAGACTTAATGGTTGGGGTCCTCAGGAAGGTAAAAACCAATGGTTGGAAACAATTGCTGATATGGCTCGAAATCTTTCTCAATGACAGCGCAGATGCATCCACTCCTTGTGACTGATAATTTCCAATGAAACTGTTTTGTTCTTCGTTATTACTATACCTTTGTCTCACACCTCTGTTTATTGTCTCTAATATGCATTGCTCCTACTTTCTTCTCTTGCTTTGTGTGCTACATGGATGGAGTGTGGTGACTTGAACTGCCGCACATATGTGCAAAGTTCTATGTCGAAAACAGACAGACAGACAGACAAAATACTTGATGAAATGAAAAACAAATTTCAGGAGTAGAGTTGAACCGATGCTAGATTCTGAGTAATAAGTAAGCATATGTAAGCGTATGAAACTATGAAAGCCATTCGTTTTAAATCCTGATGTGAATCAATCGGGTTTTTGCTCCAATTCATATTATTATCATCATCATTTTCCAGAAATGTTATGAGTCCTTCAGATCAATATGGCCCCCAGAATCTGATCAGCTATCCTTTTATTATTTCATTCCTTTGTGTCCCAAGCGGAGGATAGGGGATCAAGCTATGAGGTTTCACTGGCAGGATTACTAACAGTTAGGCGAGGTTTGACAGTGTGTCTGTGGTCTTGGAATCGGAACCACTGCCCCCTCCCCCTCCCCACGATCAACCTCCAATATAATGATGTGCATTTGTCGAAGAAAATAAAGAGAGAGAAAACTGTTGCAGGGTATTGAATCTTTCTTCATATAGAATGAAACTTTAACACACATTGATATGTTGTCAGTTACAATATTTCCTGAAGATCCTATATGAAGGGTAATCATTTTGCAATTAAAAATACGCTACAACTTCTGTACTATGTATGTGTCAACATATGGTTTAAAATAAAGCTATTATTATTATTATAATTACCATTTTGATATTTAGAGCATACCTGGGGCTGTTGATGTTGTTGTTTCCGTTCAAACCATTGACTGCGTTCTTTCGCTCGTAATTCTTGTCGAATTAACATTGCTCGATGTTCTTCTTCCAGTTGAGATATTCTCTGATTTTGTCTAGAACAGATCAAAATATAAGATAAATATTGATAGACAGGTAGATGTACGGTTTTACTGTTTCTAATGAATTTTGATATTTCTGTTATGACTGCGTTTTTCTGTCGTGTGTGTGCATGTGCATGTGCACTTTCTTGTAACAGGGTGAGTTCGTAGACCATTAAGCCACTCACTGGGGCCGGATCCAATGGTCTTGTATCCAGAAGGTGTTGGGTTCGAGTCCAACAGTGTGGGTGCTTACTTCTGAAGAGTTCCACACTAGGATGAAACAACTGTCCAGTACTTCCAGCTGGTTTTTCAATGTCAAATCGTGATGAAATCCTGTAACCAATCAATCCAATCCCTACAAATCAATACTTGAACATCCTCTGTTGAACTTACAAACTCCGGTATACCAACAAATATTCAGATAACTATTACTTATAATGGTCGATTTCATTTCACTTCTTTAAATTTAGTCACAGTTAAAGAGTAATCATTGAAAACCAAGGACTACTAGACAGCTGTTTCGTCCTATATTTGTGACTCTTCACCAGTGCGCTTTCACGACCCTTTCAGGTTACAGCCCAAACTCGTTGATCATCCAGGCACTTCGACCTATGAATTCTAACTTTGTCAAGTCATGATGTAGGGCTACCGTCAACCAGTGTTTTCGATGGCCATCCTCCAATTCATAGTGGACCCCAGTGGTTACCACTTCTCACTGCAGTTTAGAGACATCTATCCAGAAGCAATCAATGGATTGATGTTTTATATCCCACGATATGAGTAGTCGATTTGACAGCATACTGTATCATGCATGTGAATAGGACAGGATGGAATATACCAAAGAAACTGATTGGAATTAAATCCCATAATTTCTAGATACTGAACATTATCAGGTTGACTGAATCCTACCTGTGTAATAATCAATCAGAATATTCAACGTAGTGGTACATTGTACCTGATGTTTGAATGGTCCGGAATCAGAGGACAGAAATTCAGTTTACTTCTGATTGACAGGAAGCACCTGGACTGCTTAGAACGATCAGACGAAAGAAACAATGTCAAATGTGTCATGAAAAGGATTTCTAACAGGCCAGTACAGACTTTTATCAACAGCTGCCACCTTCGTTGGCTGGCTCCATACTGAAGATCAAATGACAGGCGAGCCCGCTGGCCAGAAAGAATTAGCAACAAGAAACTCTGCACTGGAACAAACCAACCAACAGGCGAAAGCCGATTGCTCAAAAGTGATGTAGGAGAAAATGGAGATGGGTCAGTCGGGTATACGTTTAGGAGAATAGAGACTATGGTCAATCATGAACCCGACCAGATGACGAGGACAACAGAAAATGGAAGAAAATGGAGATGTGTAGTTGAAGCCCTATGCTCCACTCAGAACCCGAGGGAATAATAATAATAACGTCAAGCATTCAGAAGACACTCCATCTACTAACATTTGAGAAACAACTAGGAAATGTGGAGGATCAATACGCCTGTAGTTGCTGACTACTGGACACTGAGAATTTATTTAATTCAATATGAATTACAGAATTTTCATCATGAGCTGACATTAGTTAGGGAACCATTGGAAAACCAACTGGGAGTACTGGACAGCTGTTTCGTCCTAATTTGGGACTCTTCATCAGTACGCACCCACTGGGATTCGAACCCAGGACCTTCTGGTTACAAGGAAAGCTCGTAAACGATTAGGCCACTGGGACCCAATACAATGGCCCAATGGGTTGGGATCCCGGTGGGTGCGTACTGATGAAGAGTCCCAAACTAGGTTGAAACAGCTGTCCAGTACTCCCAGGTTTTCCAATGGTCCTCTAACTAAAGTCACTTCATGATGAAATCCTGTAACCAATCAAATCCTACAAACCAACACTTGAATATCAATAAGAATTGATATAATTATGAAATAAAAGTTTTGAGAAACAATATTGTTTCTCTAGAAAAAAAATTAATCCTTGGACAAAGAAAACTCACTTTTCTAAAAGTTCTTGTTCAGCCTGTTGCTTTTTATGAATCCAATCCTTTCGATACGGTTGATTTGTTACTGACATCGATGAAGGATGTGGATGAATCGACTCCTAAAACGAAGAGAAAGGGGAAGAATAAGAAGGCATATTAACTAACTTGTTTAACACAATTGAGAACAACTCTACTGAAATTTTACATTCAGCTAAAATTATCAAATAATTAGTTTTGTTTTCAATATTGAAGAGAATATCAACATCTCCAGATGTAGATGTTGGATTCAGCGTTTCGTCCAGGTTGATAGTGTTTGGAGCTGGAAAACAACTTTCTATGCTACTCACGAAGATATCATTAGCGTCATTGAGAACAGGAATACTTATTTGAGTAGTTTGAAGTTAGTCAATAGAGAGAAAATTCTAGTTGTCAACCTTCTTGATACTCAACCCAAAGATATACTGTTTGATGAATGGTGACATGATGCGCAGTTCGGCCTATTTAAGACTCGTCATCTGGATGTACCTGCAATCTTCAGTGAGCCATTATGTCAAATGAAAAAATCGAAACAAGATCTATTTTCTGAACGTTTCGCCGTGTAAACTACAGTTTCTTCAGCAGAATTATTCAGATTTTATTAATTATCAAAATATATAGTCAGAAAACAAATTTTACATAAATTGAAGTCAGTTTATTTGATGATATGGGGAACGAGATATCCAGTACAAGACAGATTTTGATTGGAAATGGTTATCCTGAAAAGCTACTAGATAATATTATCAATATAAAAGGAGCAGAAGGGAAAACAGAAAATAGAAAAATTTTGCCTATCGACAATAGTCATTTCATATGGAAAGGAGACAGCTGAACAACTTCAAAGACTACTTGCTGCAAATGATAATAAAGTCTATTATTTCAAGCCCTGTAATTCTCTAGAGAAAGCTTTGGTGAATGTCAAAGATATGGTTCCAAAAATGGCACAAAACAAATGTGTCTATAGGATAAAGTGTTTAGAATGTGAAGCTTGCTATAATAGGGGAGAGCAGTAGACAGGTGAAAGTCAGAGTGAATGAACATAGACTATGCACGAAACGTCCACCTAGAAATGAAGTAGAATTAAAAAGTCTAGAGAAAAGATCGGCAATAGCAGTGCATGCGATAGACAGCGGACATAAGATTGATTTTAACAATGTAGAAATACTTGGAAGAGGATTTCATTCACATAAAGAAAGGTTGACCTGTGAAGCCTTGCACACTTTAACTACATCGAATGCAGTGAATAGGAAAGAAGGGATAGACTTATCACCTTTGTATGGCAATTTCTTATGAAGCAAGACAGATGAAAAAACAACAAAATCCTCTGCGAACCCCCATGACCTTAAAAAAATGTGTTATCATGTTTATGGCATGGAGGATTTCATCATGAGCTGACATCAGTTAGAGAACCACTGGAAAACATGGGAGTACTAGACAGCTGTTTCGTCCTAGTTTGGGACTCTTCATCAGTACGCGATCACCGGGATTCGAACCCATACCCTTCTGGTTACAAGGTGAGCTCGTAGACCATTGAGCCAATGGGACCCGATCCAATGGTCCCAGGTTTTCCAGTGGTTCTCTAACTGATGCCAGCTCATGATGAAATCCTCTATGCAATCAAACAAAATCCCTACAAAACCAATACTTGAAAATTATCATGTTTATCACTTGTGAATTGATGTGTTTTTGCATTCGACAAATAACATACACTCACACAGAGAAATATATACACAATAACAACTTGACATTAGTCATTACAAATATATGTGATGACTGCTTACATATTTCCATTGGTACAAATGTCCATGGATAAATGACCCTCAAATAAACTGACTTCAATTTATGAAAAACACTTTTTTTGAATATTCATATCAATCAATTAATCGTCTAGAAATGTCACCTTTACTACAAGAGAAGAATTTCATGAGTTGTACTCAGCATACACTATGCACACGCACACACATACTCACACTCACATATACAATTTTCATTTACTTATGTGTACAACTTTCTTCCTCCGAAATTCAATGCAATACCACATTACATAATCAATTGTTTGTAAGTCAACAGTTTTAAGACTAAAGTTCCTCTTGCGTAACCATTGCATCATACTGTAAAATGCCGACCCCCCCCCATCCAAATTTTAGGCACACAAGCACATATACACACATAGACAGAGACACACTATGGAGTAATTTGAGCGTTGAGTCAGACTGAGCCATCATAAAATTACATAAAATAATCCCAATAACAAAACTTATCATTGTGTGTAAACTATTGAAATATAATTATACTTTATTTAATCCCAGAGTGTTTAGAGAACCAAAACAAGATTTGTTACAGGATTTCATCATGAGCTGACATTAGTTAGAGAACCACTGGAAAACCTGGGAGTACTGGACAGCTTTTTCGTCCTAGTTCGGGACTCTTCAGCAGTGTCGGATGTGAGGACAAATACTCGCCGAAGACATTGGCTAGGGGTCGCGCCATGTCGTGAATTGGCAGAAGTTAGAATTCATGGACCGGCCATTGGATCGGGTCCCAGTGAGTGCTTAATGGTCTACGAGCTAGCTAGCCTTGTAACCAGAAGGTTCTGGGTTCGAACCCCGGTGGGTGCGTACTACTGAAGAGTCCCAAACTAGGACGAAACAGCTGTCCAGTACTCCCAGTTGGTTTTCCAATGGTTCTCTAACTAATGTCAGCTCATGATGAAATCCTGTAACCAATTAAATCCCTACAAACCAACACTTGAAAACAAAATTTATTTCCGCATGTTTCGTCGTATAAGTAAAAACGTCTTCAACAGAAACACTCTACGAGTTAACAAATTAGTAAAAGCACAGTGAAACTGTTACAAACTAGAAGTATCTTTCTGTAAATGCAAAATTTAGCCACTGCGGTAAGAATATAATTCCACTGGGATACAATCTTGATGACTAGATAACGTTTGGAGGACAATATACTACTCATAAGCATATCAATGTAGATATGATGGAGAAGATTTGTAGCTCAGGTGGATGATTTTGATGTAGTTGTGTTCTCTGAGCTATCTGGATGGTTTATTTACGGAACTTTCATTCCCCTGCTAGGCAACATCTTCAGCGCATACTTCAATATTCAAGTGACCTTCTAGATTTCTCCACGAGTTTATCAGTCATCTCTCCTGGTGGGTGACCTTGAGCATGATTAGTTGCTTTTGTGTGTTTTCACACCCTCTAGGCGGCTACTTGTATTGGTAGTGATTGCTTCCTTGACTTGAAGTTTGACCCTTTGTGTGTGTGTGAGGTTTCCTTCTTAAAAGTTAGATAATTTTGTCTGTATCAATGTGTCTATTAATTGACGATTCATTGGAATACCAGGCAGCCTTCTAAAAAGATTCTCTAGCATTCTTGGTGTTTCCTCTGTCTAATATTTGAACTCTGGTTGTCCCAGTCGAGTTGATGTCCGTGGTTGTCTGTCATCACAGCGATGTTGCAAGTGAATGCAATGCAGTGGCTAAGTTGTGTTTTTTCTAGGTTGTTTAACTCAGCAGGATCAATTATTCCAGCTCTGGCTAAATCCCCATGTTCCGTTAAATCTAATTGACCCTGATCTACTAGTTTGACCTATGCGTTAATTGACCTCACAGGCACTGCATAGTGACATTTGGTAAGTTATTAGTTTCCAGAATGGAGTCTATCCAGTCTATAAACTGGTAAGGTTCATCTCTGAATGAATTATTGGTTTAAAAGCCACCCTAATTCCAGCCTTATTAAGAATCCAACCACGTACAGCCACTGATGTTTCTTCTTTATATGGTAGTACTTACTATCAGGGCTTTGAATTCCTTATTATTTACACTTCTACTCTTATTTTTCTTATGAGTCTTCATACATTTTTCAATAAATTCTGGTAGGTAGTCGTCAGTCAGTATGCATATTTTCTTCATTTAATTCTTCTGAAGTAATAGTTATTAGGCTATTATTAGCCCGAATCATGTAATATTGTATTTGTGCAACCCATTTCGAACAATTTGATAAGCCAGATACGTACTTGTCATAGGAATGTATATATATAAAAAATTTTCAAAAGTGGTTTTGCAAGGATTAGATTTGCCTGTTACGAGTTTGACCACGGATTGATATCAGTTAGAGAAGCATTGAAAACCAGGACTGGAGTACTGGACAGCCAGCTGTTTCATCCTCCTAGTTTGGGAATCATTGGCAGTACGTAAACACTGCGTGGGCGTGACATCCGACTATCAACCAAGGGACGTGTGTACTGCTCACCAGTTCGCTCCGTCCTTCTCTATGGCTCTGAAACATGGCCAATACCAGTTGAAGACATGAAAAGGTTGACTGTTTTCGATCATAGATGTCTACGATCTCTTTCTCACGTTAGGTGGTACTTACCTTATTAGGTAAGTAATGTTGACGTCAGGCGTAGAGTGTTGGGCGTGGAGGGAAAATCAATCGAAGAGGCTATAAAGTTACATAGATTGAAATGGCTAGGTAACGTGCTGCGCATGCCTAACCATCGCCTCCCCCACCCCGACGGGCATTACTAGCTGATATAGGTGCAGGTTGGAAAAGAGTAAGTGGTGGCCAAACAAAAACATGGCATCAATCCATGAAATCCCTGACAGTTAAACTGAGTCAGGTAGGGAGATGCAGACTTCCGGGTTGGGGCCCTCGGGACTCTAAGAATCAATGTCTGGAGACAATAGGTGACACGGCTCAAAATCGTTGTCAATGGCTTACGCAGATGCATTCAGTCTCAGTAATCTTTCATATTCCTTTCTACTATTACTCATTCTGTTTCACTCTTATACTTGTCAAAACTCTATTGATTCTCTTCACTCATTTTCTTGTCTACCTTTGCGCGCTATTTGGAACGTGGCAACTCGAAGTGCTTCACTTCGGTGCCAGGTTCTATGTTGAATCCAGCCAGCCAACAGCACGTACCCACTGACAGGGTTCGAACCCGGGATCTTCCGGTTACAAGGTGAGCTAGCTCGTATACCATTCAGCCACTGGCACATGAATTCTAACTTCTACCAATTCGTGATGCATTTAGCGCGACTGGCACCAACCAATGTCATCGG